TAACAAATGGGTCAGTAGCATTACCCAGGCAGAGTTATATTTCAACAAATGGATCAGTAACATTACCCAGGGTGAGTTAAATTTTAACAATGGGTCAGTAACATTATCCAGGGTGAGCTATATTTCAACAAATGGGTCAGTAACATTATCCAGCAGGGTGAGTTATATTTTAACAAATGGTCAGTAACATTATCCAGCAGGGTGAGTTATATTTTAACAAATGGGTCAGCAACATTACCCAGGGTGAGTTATATTTTAACAAATGGGTCAGTAACATTACCCAGGCTCAGTTATATTTCAACAAATGGGAAAGTAACATTATCCAGGGTGAGTTATATTTTAACAAATGGGTCAGTAACATTATCCAGGGTGAGCTATATTTCAACAAATGGGTCAGTAACATTACCCAGGGTGAGTTATATTTTAACAAATGGGTCAGTAACATTACCCAGGCTCAGTTATATTTCAACAAATGGGAAAGTAACATTATCCAGGGTGAGTTATATTTTAACAAATGGGTCAGTAACATTACCCAGGGTGAGTTATATTTTAACAAATGGGCCAGTAACATTATCCAGGGTGAGTTATATTTTAACAAATGGGTCAGTAACATTACCCAGGGTGAGTTATATTTTAACAAATCGGTCAGTAACATTACCCATGGTTAGTTACATCTTAACAAATGGGTCAGTAACATTACCAAACGTGAATTATATTGTAACAAATCAATCAGTAACATTACACAGGTTGAGTTATGTTTTACCATAAACAAAACGGTCAGTAACATTACCCAGGGTGAGTTATATTTTATCATAAACGAATGGGTCAGTAAGATTACCCAGGGTGAGTTATATTTTAACAAATGGGTCAGTAACATTATCCAGGGTGAGTTATATTTCAACAAATCGGTCAGTAACATTACCCAGGGTGAGTTATATTTTAACAAATGGGTCAGTAACAATACCCAGGGTGAGTTATATTTTAACAAATGGGTCAGTAACATTAACTAAGACAACTAATAAAACACTTCATACAAATGACCAGTTGAATTACCCAGGGAGAGTAATATTTCACTTCACATAATTGGGTCAGCGACATTACCCAGGGTAATTATACACTGACATTGAACATAGCGATGTGTATACATATACGACAATTACATACTCTCGTTTTATACTACATCATTTTCGTTTAATAGATATTGATGAGTGCACAGAGGTCCGGGAATATCCCTGTCACAGTGACGCCGTGTGTGAGAATACTGAAGGCAGTTTTAGATGTACTTGCAAAGCCGGCTTTTTTGGTGATGGACGTAAATGTGAACGTAAGTACAAATCCTGCAATGTAATGTTTCAATCAATCGCGCCTTGTAACACTGTCGCAATTAACCCAAGCGCTTCGTCATTATAAAGATCAAATCGTAGGACATGTGTGGTATATACAATGTATATATTCGCGACTGTGAAACGCGCGTTGAGGAATTTTTTAATATATTCAATAACTGAGCCATGGACGATATACAACTGACCGTGTACCATCCACCTTCATTGCATTGTGTCTTATATTACAGCTGACGCCGATTGTACTGCGGGACAATCCTGTAACGCGCATGCGCACTGTGTGCGAAACATACTCGGTGGCTATGAGTGCGTATGTAATGGCGGATTCACTGGAGACGGAACCACGTGTACAGGTATGAATAGTCTGACAATTTTTTCCGGGGGTTCCAGTTGAGCACAGATTTTGATGATTTTAGTATATAACAAATTTGACGGCATTATGGGGTTGGAATATCACATGCAAGATTTACCTGTGAATGGTCAATTGCACTGTAACTTTTTGTAACGTTTTTTCAGATATCGATGACTGTGCTTCTGATACAACTAACGGATGTCACGCGGATGCCATCTGTTCCAATGTCAATGGAGGGTACCAATGTGAATGCAAGGAGGGTTTTACAGGAAACGGCTGGCATTGTGAAGGTGGGAAATACAGTTCTATTCTATTCTATTCTATTCTATTCTATTCTATTCTATTCTATTCTATTCTATTCTATTCTATTCTATTCTATTCTATTCTATTCTAATAAAAACATTAAAATTGCATCGAATCAAATGTAATCGAATTGATACACTGTTAAAGTGATTTACATTGCTGGTATCCAATCAGTGAACGCATTAGAGGGGGTGATTTCTTGCATTAATGAGATAAACCTGGTCATAATATAACCACTGCTAATGTAAAAACAGGTGGCCTGAATGCTTCAGTATTTAAGAGAGTGGGGTTATTTTAAACAGTGAACTCATAAAGCGGGCGTGATCCTCGTAATTTGTGTCAACAGATTTTAGAAATTAGATTTGTTGATGATGAAATTATGTTGAACATGCCTTGTACGCTGTATGAGTAGCTAGCACCACATGGCATCGACATTTCGACTGCTCCCTCGCAACACCCCGCTGTCCCGTGGTGTTTCCTGCTCGTAATCTACTCTCGGGTCGGAATTACGTCACAGGACGTTATATATTGCTAAATCGCGCACCAATGTGCCATGTATTTCTATGGGCTCTGTGTGAGCTGTTGTGGAACGCCGGTCGAAGAGCTGCTGAAAACACCTAAAGTTTAGACAACCAACATTATAAATGTTACACACGTAGGAGTAATCTTGTTAAACTGTTCAGAAAATTCTCAACAACTAGAGTAAAGAACAGTTGTTGTTGCTAGGATGTGAAAATACCCGGATGTTTGCTGCCGATAATATGACGTCACCTATTATATTTTCTAGATCTCAATGAATGTGCAGATACGTCACTGGGAGGATGTGATGCAAATGAAATATGTGTAAACGAGTATGGTACTTATTCCTGTACATGCAAATTTGGATACGAGGCTGATCTGAACACTGGGGCTTGTGTGGGTATGTAATGTTAATCATCATTGAGAATGTTATGAAACTATATTGGTCACGCGATCAACTTCAGACTTCCGGCGGAAGTCTTTTCTCTTAACTCTTTGAACGCCATTTTTTTCTGAACAAAATGTTCGACTAATAATTCGCTCAGTTTTGTGTACATTTTTAGTCCCCGTTCGGACGCAGTCCGAAAACGGGGACTTATGTTTTGCCCTGTGTGCGTCCGTCCGTGCGTCCGTGCGTCCGTGCATCCGTGCATCCGTGCGTCCGTGATCACCTGTATCTCGAACATGCATGGACCGATTAAGTTCAAACTTCACTCATACATCACACATTATATGGGACATATGCACATGCATTTTTTTCATGATCCGATTAACGATAGTCGAATAGTGGCCATTTTAAGGCCGAAAATGCATCAAAATCGCACATTTTCACCATTCCGGACCCGGATCTCAGTTATGCATGGACGGATTTTGTTCAAATTTGGTACATACATTAAACATAATAGGACCTTGATGCACGTCATTTTTTTTTTTGGATCGGGTTCGATATGGCCGACTGGCGGCCATTTTGTTTTAAAGAATTCAGTTCTGGATCCGTATCTGAGACATGCTTGGATTGATCGAGTTCAAACTTCACACACACAAGGTACATCATGTCACAAATATGTATGTGCATTTGTTTCATGATCTCATTAACGATAGCCAAATGGCGGCCACTTTAAGGCCGAAAATGCATTGAAATCGCACATTTTCA